TTTAGTGCAATGAAGAAATTGAAGTAGATAGTGAAATGTTTTGAAATGTTGTTACTGATGATATTATCTACTACCTACATAATATAATGTACATTTAGCAGAAATAAAATGAATTTTGTGTCTCTTCTGCCCTAATGATGAGAGAAAAATGTTAAGTATTTGGGAGCTTAATCTAAAGTGTAGGTTGATTTAAAGTGAACTCTTTTCTTTCAAACAAAGAAATTAAATGAGAAAATGATGTATACATATGATAATCACTTGTTTCTAGTTGAGCTTTATATTGTGGTGGCCAAAAAGTTCATTTGGAATTTTCCCAAACAGACTTTTTGGCCAACTCAACCTATACTTTTATAAATGATTTCCAGTGGCTAGTCCTAATTTATTCATTTGCTATCTTCAGCTTCAGATTGTTGCAAAGGTCACTAAATGGCACTAAATTAATGGCACTAAATGGCGCTCTGCTTTGCTTTCTTCACATCTTTCTTATAGAAACCACCCCCCCAATACACACAGACACATACCTGTACACCTATCTCCCTGACATTTTTTTAAGAGAAACCTATGATCTTCTATCATATAATTATATCAAGACATATTTTTCTTACAGTAACTAATTTTTATTTTGAACCTTTGTTCCCATGCTAGGGGAAACTTTTGAAATTGTTCTCTTTTCCTGAACATTAACAGTAAGAGACCCAGCAGCCGTTACCGGTGTTGCTATCAAGTAAACACTTGGAGTGTGTAGATTTACAAGTAGGAATGGAATGTTATTAGAGATAATAGCTCTTAACTTTGCTCAAGAACAGATCACCCCATGACCATCTGGTCCCTTGTCAGTTCATTTCTCTTATAATTCAGAAATTAGTGTTTTTGGAGTGCATGCGATGTGATCTGTCCCTAGAAGCTTTGCCATATATGGGGTTCTCTTGAAATTTGCGAATTCTTCTGTTATCTTTGGGACAAGTACTTTTCATGCCTAGTAGGATAAAATACATTTATAGTCTTTATATCCTCATGTTTCCTGAAAATGGTTAGAATAAAAAAATATATTTTTCATCTTGAATTGCTACTTTTAATTGTTAAAAACACTGAAATGATGTAGATTCCTTCTAAACTGAGTAGACTATTATCTGGATTATATTTTGCTTCAAGAGCCATAATTTTATCTTTATTCTATGAGCCTTAGAATGTTTATAATTTTCATCAAAGCAGCAGATATCAGCACTCTAATTAACGCCTTCCACCATTCCTCTTCTGATACTTGAGAAGTTGGCTGTACTACAAATGAAACAGAGGCTGACACATTAAAATGGACCTGACACAGATGGATATCACTTGTCTTGCATGACCTTGGGTAATTACAGATTTTTTTGTGTGTAATTATTCCCCTGGATCCTGCTTCCTGTCTTCCGATGCCATGTTTTTGCATCATTTCTCAAACCTGAGACATCATGAGCCAAAACTAGCAAGTGGTCACGTAAGTCCGGCCCACCTAACACATTTAATATGGGATGATAATGAGATTGGTACAAGGAAGTATGAAAAGTTATGCGAACACTTCAGGGTTACTAATACTTTTGCTGTGCATTTGGTACACTCTGGAAAATTAGTAGTTGATCATTTCTAAAGGTGGTGGAAAGGAAGCTGTAAATGATTTTAATGGAGAAAAAAGTAAAAATGTTGACTCTTGAAGATAATAATAGCTTAATGTTAATCAGGACTTTTACTTGTGTCTTCCTTTACTTTTCTGACTATATTTCCCCAAAATTCAGAGTCCTAGAATTTTATAAGGAAGATTATTACTTATCTCAGATATGATTAGAAATCAGGATCAGTTCATAAAATATACTTCATTGTGTAAACAACTGAAAATGTTAGAAGTCAAATCATGAAGTGGTAAAGATTTGAGATACATGAAGACTGAGAATTAACTACTAAAACTTTTCAGGTCTTGAGAACTCCTATTAGGGAACCCTAGTGAAGTCTCCATCATAAGCAAGTCCTCCTTTGCACTGTTAGTGTTTGTATTTGGACTGCAAGAAAGAGAACCTGGCTTGGCCTCCTATCTTAATACAGGAGAACGAATATAACAGGAGGACATTGTGTCAGTCACAAGAGTTGTTTGTTGTACATCATAGGCCCTAAGGATGGACAGAAGAAGGGCATTTCTAGACAGTGCAATATCAGAGTTTTATGAATAATCTCTGTAGAACATTCTAACCAAGAGAAACCTGTTCTATTTTCCTTCTAAACAGTGGAGTGCCTGATTGGCTAAGCTTAGGTCTTACACATACCCGTGGACTGATGTGTGGAAGCAGACACTGAGGCTGACATGACCGCCGGGATCCCAGTCATTGAGAAAAGGCACTGCTTGTCTTTGTTTGCTAATTTGTTTTTCCTGCTGCTGAGCTACATGCCTGCCCAAGTCCTTTTCTCCATTCCTGAAATGGAGCAGGATACAGAAATTCTTCCCTGCTGAAACGAATACTTTGTCATTTTGTATTTTTAGGAATTTTTACACTGAAGCAAACGATCATCCATAAAAACAAGCAAATGATGCTAATGTGCTTTGTCATCTCAATTCCTCTCCTTACTTTCTGAATCCCACTGGAATTGTTAGTTTATATCCCAGGAATCTACTTTTATTTAGATGAAGTTAATCTAAATAATTTAGCTAGAGGTATATTTGAGTTGATATCAAGGTTGGAAATGATCAGATATTTGTTCTATTTCTAAATCTGGTCCCCAGCTATGTTTAAGAGTTCCTTTTCATACACCCCCAAATTCCAGTTCTGGATCTGTGCAGTACTTCATTGAAAAAACATTTATTTAGGCCAGGCTTATCTGGTGGCTCAGTGGTAAAGAATCTGCCTGCCAGTACAGGAGAAGTGGGTTTGATCCCTTGGCCAGAAAGATCCCCTGGAGAAGGAAATGGCAACCGTCTCCAATATTCTTGTCTAGAAAATCCCATGGATATAGGAGTCTGCCAGACTATAGTCCATTGGGTCACAAAGGAGTCAGACATGACTTAGTAACTGAGCAACAAAAACATCAAGAATGTGTTAGTCCAAATATGGTAGTTTTTTTCTAAATCATATGTGCCAACTCCTGAATCAGTAGAGGCTTACAGTGTTCTTTCCTTTGTGAGAAAGGAAAGAAGTGGAAGAACACTGGAACCAATTAATAGCATCTGTTGTGACTCATGAAGGGGATCATGGGTACAGCTCCCACACACTTGCTTGTTCTGCTGTAGACACTGTTGGGGCTAAGATGACAAGTGTAATATGGTCATCCCTTGTGAAAATTATTATTATCTCGGCATCCCAGTTACTAAGTTCCCATAGTGTTCTAGGTGAGTGGAGATGAAGACTTAGATAGGACAGATACTCAAAAGGGGAGGAAAGTGAAAGCAAGTGAAAGTTGCTCAGTCATGTCCAACTGTGATCCCATGGACTATACAATCCATGGAATTCTCCAGGCCAGAATACTGGGAGTGTGTAGCTGTTCCCTTCTCCAGGGGATCTTCCCAACCCAGGGATTGAATGCAGGTCTCCTGCATTGCGGGCAGATTCTTTACCAGCTAAGCCACAAGGGAAGCCCAAGAATACTGGTGTGGGTAGCCTATCCCTTCTCCAGGGGATCTTCCCAACCCAGGAATCAATGCGGGGTCTCCTGCATTGCAGGCAGATTCTTTACCAACTGAGCTATCAGGGAAGCCCTGGCATGGATAGGTGTAATATTTTTGTTGTTACAGCTGAAAAGATGCTATGGATACCCTAGCACTGTCACTTCTTTGATCACTTCAACACTGAAGAATGGAAGCCACATTGTTTTGTTGTTTTGTTTGCTTGAAGTATTTTATCCTTATTTTGTGCTCCTCTTTTCTTTCCATTATCTTCAGTGTAGTTTTACAAGATATGAATGCTGTGTCTCACCAACTTGGGAATCTGTTTGTTAAAGTCTCTTCTCTGCTCCCACCTAACTTCTTTTTAAATGAATGGCTCCCATTCAGTAACCAGCTACAGGATAGATAGCTAATATTATTGACAAAAAAAAGGTAGAACTATACTTGGCTCAAAGGGCCTACCTTTCCCCACTTACATGAATTGTCTGAATCCTCATTAAAGAAAAAAAAAATTTCTGTAGACTCTTTCCAGCATTCATTCAGGATATCAGCAGTCCTTAACCATAAAAGGAAAACAGTAGTTACAGTTTTGCGATGGAGTCTCAAATTATTGACACTTTGCTGATAAATGAGTAGGGTAGCATAGAGTCCTTTATTCTCAGAAATTGTTCTGACCTCCATTCCTACTGGGTCTGAGGTAAACTAATTTTGATATTATCTGATCTAAACCCATTCTAATCTGTATAGTTCAAGCAGTCTCTTTTGCTTTCAGTTCAGTTCAGTTCAGTCGCGTCCGACTCTGCGACCCCGCGAATCGCAGCACGCCAGGCCTCCCTGTCCATCACAAACTCCCGGAGTTTACTCAAACTCATGCCCATCGAGTTGGTGACGCCATCCAGCCATCTCATCCTCTGTCGTCCCCTTCTCCTCCTGCCCCCAAACACTCCCAGCATCAGGGTCTTTTCCAGTGAGTCAGCTCTTCACATGAGGTGGCCACAGTATTGGAATTTCAGCTTCAGCGTCAGTCCTCCCGATGAACACCCAGGACTGATCTCCTTTAGGTTGGATCTCCTTGCAGTCCAAGGGACTCTCAAGAGTCTTCTCCAACACCACAGTTCAAAAGCATCAATTTTTCGGCGCTCAGCTTTCTTCACAGTCCAACTCTCACATCCATACATGACCACTGGAAAAACTACAGCCTTGACGGACCTATGTTGGCAAAGTAATGTCTCTGCTTTTTAATATACTATTTAGGTTGATCATAACTTTCCTTCCAAGGAGTAAGAGTCTTCTAATTTCATGGCTGTGATCACCATCTGCAGTGATTTTGGAGCCCCAAAAAATGAAGTCAGCTGAAACCGTAGTTCAGCAAAAGTGGAGATGCCGGGAATCGAACCCGGGACCGCATGCTCGCAAGGCACGCGCTCTACCACTGAGCTACATCCCCACGCTAGCTTTTTCTTGAATTCAGACGTATTTGAAGATAGCTTTCCATTGGAGACTCCTGCACGTCTCCGTAAGATAGCATCTGAAGTATGGAGAAGTGGCTCTTGTAACAGTGTCGTAGACAGGAAACGAAACTCTTCTCTTTGAGCTGGTTCTGGGGGGAATTAATGGCAGAAATCCACCTACTGGGTGCTTGGCTCGTATGGGATGAATGAAACTGACAGTTGGTAAACTTCAGAGTACGAACTCTCTCAATTGATTAAGGTCTTACTAAGATCCTTGGCTTATTTAGCCTCTGTAAACCCATCCCTAAAATTTTCTACCTTGTCTTCCATCTTTTTCCAGGTACAGGCTATTTCTCCATTTTAAGATTACCAGAACCTTGGGCTTAGTCGCTGGTGTACAAAAACTGACGAAGGCGCGGGAGGGCAAACAGAGTCACCTCTGTGCCTAATCGTGTCAGCCTGCTTCATAAGCTGAGTTATAGATTCTTGTGTTTCCACAATTTCCTTGCACCACAACTTTCTCTTAGTGTTAAAAATGAAGATAGAAAGGTCCTCAGTGCTTCTCACAATGTATGGAACATACTTCTTCCTCTTGATCAAAGCATAAGGAAGGGGAAGTACAGATATGCATCTTTCTCTCCTGTATCTCTTCTTTCCTCTTTCCAAAAGCCTCCAGTAAAAAGAAAAAAATAAAACTTATATTCTTAGTTTTCAAAGGTCTTAATCATATTACATTACCATTCAATAATAAAAATTATAAAAATATTATTGGTTTTCTTTGTGGTATCTTTCATCTTTGTCTTGTATTCACCCTCACTAAGGCTTCATTCTGTTACATTTGATTTATTGGAATAATTTTTAACATGTCTCTTGCCTCTTTTTCTCTTCCCACTCCAAGCTATTTTCTATTCTGTTGGCAGACTTTTCTACTGATCACTCTGCTTTGATTATACCATTTTTCCCCTTTAAGTTACTCTAGAATTATATATTTTCATACCCAATATTTTCTTTCGGTCCTATCCCTGCTGAATCCTAAGACTCTTTTCTTTTTATTATAATTTCCTTAGGACTTATATCTAGATTTATTTCTTCCTCATGCCTCCTTTGTTTATCATAGTATCTCTTACTAATAAGACATCCATACATTGTCTGTTTCTTAGCCTTACACCCACATGAGTGAAACTGACTCCCTGTATAACTGCACTGGTTCAACAGGTTTGCTAGAGAATTGAGTCTGTAGATCGTATCTTGAAGTGACTTTGTAGGTGTTGTACTTATCTTTGCTCATAACTCAATTGTAAGCATCTTAAAGAATCATGTTTTCAGTTTTTCAATTTTCACAATCTCTAATAGGCAGTATTGAGCCTTAAATAGTTGCTTTTTAAAACAAAATTGAGTAGGAATTTTAAAATAAAAGCATATACAAAAACACACACAAAAACATGGGTTTGGATCATCAAAATATTGCTTTTTTGTGCTGTTTTTTGGATTTATTTTTTATGTTCTTGTTAATAAACATGTACTATTCTTATAATTTAAAATTGTGAATTCACCAGTACTGTAATTTAATTACTCTGTGATATAAACAGGCTGTGCAAAGTTTTCAGAAACACCAGTAAGTCTGCAGTTAATGCAGTATTTCTTGAGCTCATTTCTAAACATTTTAATCTACATTTATTAACTTAGAATATTTGTAACATGCTGCTTCTCAACTGTGACCATGATTATTCCCTCATATTTATATTTCATCATTGAGGAGAGGCTCTCAGTTTCTTATTATTCACTTTTAAACTAAATCAACCTGACATGAATCTGATAAAATTAGAGTTGTTTAGAACAGATGGTTCATCAGAGATTTGAACCCAGGAAAGGTCTGGTAGATTCTGTAGATAATTAAGGCTTTTAATTTCAATTAACAATCATGTTCTTCTTCTCTTACAAAGTTTTAAGGATTTAGACTTAACACTGCCTTTCAATTTATTTATGAGAGAATTGGTTTGGCTGATGTCTTGATTCTTTTTAGTTGTTATGTTTTGTGCTTATATAGTCAGTCTGCAAGATCCTTTAGGGAAATTTGTATACTTGAGTTAGTAGGGACTTTTAAAAGTTAGGCTTCTCTGTAACATCCAGGCATATTTAGGTATGGAAAACACTTGGACTCTTAGTGAAGGTAATGAGTAATCTTTTTTGTATGTCAGAAGTTCTGTAAACTATTAAATAGAAATACCTCACAAACTAGAATGAAGAAAACAAGAGAAATATACCTATTTGATTGAAGGGAGTAACTACTGTACTCAGAAATTACTTTGGTTAAAAAAAGAGCAATGATCCTTTCCCTATGAAAGGATACTTAATTATCCACCCTTAGAATGAGATGTTCTTTAGCTCTAAACTAAACTGATGATTTTGAAAAAAATTCCAGAAAAAAAAACAAACACTTCAACAAATGTTGAAATTATGGCATAGGTTTGCTATTTTCTCATCAAATTTAGACCAGCCTTGAGAGTACTGTAAGGTAATATTTTCTCAAGGATGAAATGTTCTGGTTCAATTTCTATATAGAAAAGGGGTATAAGTGAGCCTATTATCTTACTATTTGGGTACAGAGGTCATCTTTGAAATGCGTTTTACTATTGCTAAAAAGAAGAATATAAATGCACTTATCCTTGAGTTAGGCAATACCCAAGGCTGATTCTTAGAGGAAAAATTTGAGATCTCTCTATTTCAGGACCCTTTCTCTCTTGGTGCACCTATAATAAAAAGGTCATGGTTCCTAATATCTTTTTAAAAACTATTCTCGCTAGAGTGTACTTGAAACTGTACATCTCAAATATTAATATTTTAGCAAATATACCTAAATATACAGTTACTAAATAATTTCATCCATTAAAATATATTGCTTTTGCTTATATAAGAAATATTTCCTTCTCAAAAGTGCCTAGTAAGACCAAAGAGGTTAAATCAGTTAGAATGATTAATTTAAAATTATATTGAAGTATTTAAAAGTGTTACTCTTCCTTTCCTAATTTTCAAAGGAAAATACTTTATCTTCTTATTAATTGTTTCCAGCTCTTTCTAACTCTGTTTTAATATTTGACATTAATATGTTATATTGTATATAAGTGTTTTCCTTATCTTTTTACTCTTCTATACAACTCCCCTTTATTCAAAAAATTATCTACCAAGATACCACAGGAGGAAAGGTCAGAAAGATAAAAGAGAATTTCAATGTATGCCTAACTCTGAACAACTATGACCACCATTAAGACATAAAGCCATGTGATTTCTGTCACAAATTCAGTATTTTTCCTAAGGTACACTGTACTATATTCTTATAGCTTAAGCAACTTTGCTTTATTTCTAATTATTGGGTAGAATTTTCTACGTGGAAAACTTTCCTTCTATCCCTTATGAAACTTCACCTTTATATTTGAATCTCTAACTCGGATTGTTTTTCTGATGGATTTTCACTTCATTCATTCATTCACAGACATTGTTATTCACCTATGGTAGGTCATAAGCTTTATAAGTCATGGAAAATAGTAAAACCCATAGCGGTATCTTTCCCTTGAAGCATGTTTTCATGGGAGAGGTCAGAAATATTTATTTAAATTACATTGTGATAAATTAGATTGTTTAAATGTATGAAAGGGAAATGAAAAGCAAAAAAAAAAAAAAAGGAAAGAGACCACCTATATCTGAGTTGTAAATTTAGAAAGACTTCATGGATAAGGTGATGCTGAAGGATCTATGAGTATTCCTCAGATCATGGTGGCAGGGCAGAGAGGTGCATGAAGAGCTCAAACAATGTGAAAAGAATTTGCAAAGATATAACATGTTCTGAGTGTAAAAAGGCTTTCCAAACCATATTGGCTCCTAAAAGAAGTGTTGAGATAAGTGACTAAAGCAGTAAATATAGAGATGATCATGAATGGCCTTGAAGGCCACATGCAGGAATTTGGACTGTATCCTAAAAGATTATGGAGAGCTATTGGAAGATTCTGAGCAGCTGCACAATTAGGTTATTCTAGTGGAAGTGTGCAGAGTTGGCTGGGTGGGGAAAAAAAAAATGAATGGAGAAAAAGACCAATTTGAAAGCTGTTGTAATAGTCCAGTGAGAAATGATAAGAGTGCCTGCCAAGTGAGTAGAGATGAAATGTAGAGTGCTAAGCCAGCCAGGATGTATCGAGGGGCTCCGGTGGCCACTTTGATGGCTGATGGAGACAACAGACAACATTGGAGCAATTATAAGAGAAGACAAATCTAGGGAGGAGTCCTGTTTAGTTTAAGGCATGCTCCATTTGAAGTGCATAAGTAGAGGAATGTTGAATATTTAGGATGAGAGTGTAGCGGTCATAAATCAAAAGTCACTGAGGTATAGACTCTTGCTTGGGATAGTCTGAATATTCATTGGAAGGACAAATGTTGAAGTTGAACTCCACTACTTTGGTCACCTGATGCAAAGAACTGACCCATTGGAAAAGACCCTGATGCTGGGAAAGGTTGAAAGTGAGAGGAGAAGGGGATGACAGAAGATGAGATGGTTGGATGGCATCACCGACTCAGTGGACATGAGATTGAGTAAACTCCGGGACTTGGTGATGGACAGGGAGGCCTGGCGTGCTACAGTCCATGGGGTCACAAAGAGTCGGACACGACTGAGCAACTGAAATGAACTAGAACAGTCTGAGCTTGGGAGTAGAAAGAGAGTCACGCTGGTGGGCTACAGTCCATGGGGTGGCAAAGAGTTGGGCTTGATTGAGTGACTGAGCAAATACAGCATGTAAACAAAGAAAAATCATTGCTGGATGAAAGTGAAAGTCGCTCAGTCACTGTCTGACTCTTCGCGACCCAATGGTTGCCAGATGAGATCCTGCAGAATTTCAGCATAATGAGCAGCATGCAAAGTGAAAGGTTTTTCAATCATGGTTTTTAAATAGTTAAGGTGACTGAGTATACATAACTCATATTTCAACCATTTGAAAGGGGCCCCATC